ATATTACTAAGGTTCTCCAGGCAGATGGTGCAATGAATGCTGTATAAAGTTACTGCATGTCTAAGTGTTTTACGAAACATAAGTGATTTTCAATACTTGCTGTATGGATGAAAGTTCACACTTTAGCCAAATCATGCAGCATTAAACTGGCTTAACTTTAGCCAGATCATGTAGCATTAAACTGGCTTAACTTTAGCCAGATCATGTAACATTAAACTGGCTTACAAAGTTTCGCATTCTAGAAAGCTAGATAGTAATATTGCTCATTAAACTTCAAAAAGTTTAACTAACATTAAACATAGCACAGGGCGGAACGTGTGAAATTCGAAGACCTTCGTGAATAAAGAATACAAACACTGTAGGAAGAGGGAAGTACAAGATAATAAAGATAACCAACCTTAGCGTTACGTGGAATTGACTTAGAATTATGCTTTCCAAAATAATCCAAACCGACGTACCCAACGAATCAAAAAGTTACACCTTCACGCAAAAGATATTGGTGCGATATAAGGACATCAAAGAGGTCGGTACTGCATGGCAAATAAAATAGTGGTAAATAATAAAAAATATGTCTTACAGATATGTTTTCTTTTAATAATGCTTATTTTGTTGTTTCTTCTCCAAGGTTTCGGCTGCTATTGGTTACAAGTTTAGTGTTATTTTATTGTTCAGTAGAATTATTGCCATAATAGAATGTACACTTAAAGATGTGAACCAGAGCTGTGAAGACAGATGTTTATACTACTAAATAGAAATATTGATAAAATTACAACATTTTCATATAAAGAAGTTTGGCCAGTGTTTAATACAAATGTACGATATTGGTTTGTAAGAAAATAGCATTGCTTACAATGTCTGCTTTGTCAGGTAATAGAAAAATCAGAAGAGTTGGTACACAAGAAGAAACAATATCCAGTGAAGTAACTAATGTGTACGAAACGTCAAGACAATCGTGTAGTAAAGAACTTAATGGACCAATTACGAAAGATTTGGACTGCAAAACAACAATAAATAATGACAAATTATGTGAATCATTGGAAAAAGATTCAGCCAATGTGAACGTTGATAAAGAACAACCGTACAGTAATGGTGATGTTAAACTTCATGTGTCACCAAAAGAAACTCTGAAAATGAAAGAATTTTACCTTTTATCAATAGTTTGTATTTGTTCATATTATCCATTCATGTTTGTGAGTGTTTTTTATAAGGTAAGTTTATGAACTTGATATTAGTTTATTTTCCAAGATTCCTTTCAAGTTATAACCATGAAAGATTTAGCTCTATAAACTAAGATTTTTATATAAAAAAAAAGTCAATATTATTTTCATAATAAGTCATCTTGAGATACAGGATGGAACCAAAACCTAATCTATAAAAACATTGATTGTGATGTTGAAACCTAATATAAAATAAGAAGAACTTGTAGTTTCAAACTAAGTACCAACACCAGGACTGTGTTGAGACACTCTCACCGGAGTGCTGAAAGAAAGTTCTTTTATACTTGAAAAATACTTTCTTACTGTTTTTCAGACATATGGACAGATGTTTATACAAGACGACACGTTTCTGTCCACCATTGGTTCTGTAGCTGGAGTCGTTCATGCCCTCAGCAGAGTGATTGTGGGCTTAATTCAGGACAAATTATCTTGCAAGATAAGAATGTGTAAAATGGAGCGACTGAATTTATGTTGTTACTATAAATTATTAAAATAATATTTGTTGTGTAAAATGTATACAATCTTTATGGATCAGCAGAAAGCTAGAGAGTTTAGAACAATAAAATTAGGGTCTTGATCCCTGCCGTGGGAACAACATAGCCCATTGTTTGCTTTGCACGTAAAGCGAAAATATATTTCTGTAATAATAGTCAGAGATATTGAAACAGTGAAAATGTGTTTTGAATAAAAATTAAAAACCACTGTTTTTAGAGATTGTTAGAAACGATTCAATGTAACACAGAGGAAAGGATTATTCAAACAATTTCAGCTCACATACCATAACATTTATTTAATGTAAGTAAACCTTCACTTGGTTGGTCTTTAAACAAACTTATCTATATAAATGAATCATTTCTTTAGCGAAACATTTACTTGAATATCTGCTAAGTTACGATTCGGTAATAAAAACATTGATATTATGGTGTTTTTATCAACTTGTTGGTAGTCCTTGATCTAAACTTACTGATGTAAAAAACACCTTTCCGAAAATTTCAGCAACAGTAGCCGGAATACAGACAAATACAAGAGTAAATTTGGTAAAGAGACAACAAATCCAGATCATGTACATCACTTCTCCTCCATAAGGTGTCGCCACCATATAAAATTACAAGAAACCCGAAACAACATGTAACTATCCAGATTTTGGGTTTAGTTTATATTACCTTGTGTATGATTTTATTTCAGAAAGAAAAACTACACTAAGTACTTATCAAATCTACTGATTACTTCTAGATTTGAAAATATCAAAAATAAAGATGATAGCTTTTTACAATCCATAAGATAAACCGTTCGAGTTTTAACTGATAATTCATGACTCTTTATTCCAGACAGCTTGTTTCTTTCTCTGGCCTTTAGTTCTCCATCGTATTATCTTATCTTTAGGATGGTTTGCTACGTTTTGCGTAACAGCGACTGTTTCATTCATAGGTAAGATATGTCAGAATCAAGTGTTGTTATTCAAGGAATAAGATGTGTTCTTATTTACTGTATTTCAAACTTATTTTTTATGATTTGTTTCACTAGTACATTTTTTTTTATATATGACATCAAGTTATATAACAGTCACAATAAAACGGCACCTTATTTCCAAACTTTACGGATAAAGCAGCGTAACATACGTCATGGTTTAATATTTACTTGTAGGCCCGGGATGACCAGGTGGTTAGGGCGCTCGACTCGCAATCAGCGGGTCGTGGGTTCGAATCCCCATTATTCCAAACATGCTCACCATGAGGGCGTTATAATGTGATGGTCAATCACACTATTCGTTGGTAAAAGAGTTAGTCCAAGTGTTAGCGGTGGGTGGTGATGACTAGCTGTCTTCTCTCTATTCTTACACTACTAAATTAGGGACTGTTAGCGCAGATAGACCTCGTGTACCTTTGCTCGAAATTCATAAGAAACAGCTTAATTGTAAAAAATCTCATACATACCTCTGTTGTAAAAGAGAAAAACAACCTATATTTTAGCAAAATTTATTTTGAAGTTTCAATCGAGTTTGCTATCATGAACAAAAATACAACTGAATAAATGTCTGACTCACGAATTGACTGAACTAAGTCGTTTTTATAATGTGTTAAAAGTGTCGAAACGTTCAGGAGCAAGAAAAACATTTACATTAT